CGTTAGTATTTAATTGTTGATGCAGAAGCGTAAAAATGAGCGAATTTGAATTCTTGAAACCCTTGACAGTAAAAATAGATTCGAGTCGAAAAAATTATGCACCACTGATTGATTTTCATAATTAACTCGTAGTAAGAAAGCATAGTTTACCTGTGCGAGAATTTCGGGTATCCCACTCATTTCAGCGGACAGTAAATCAGGTGCATTCGCTGGAAACTGTGGTAAAGAAATGCCATGAAGAATGGTTACAAGGAAATGTGCTGTGATAGTTATCAATAAGTAATGTTACCTCCACCGGATAAATATGTAATAAAGTGTTAAATTCACTAATTGTGTTCTACTTATATATACATATATATATATATATATATACACACACACACACACACACACACATATATATATATAGCAGTTAGTCAGCTACAGTTGTATGGAGAACATGGGATCGATCACTGACAAACATAACAAGAAAGTAATATCTAAAAACAACCACCACGACACCAACGAAAGCCTTTGCAACTGCAGATCTAAAGAACAGTGCCCGCTCAACAACTATTGCCTGTCTTCCAGCATTATTTACAACGCACAAATCACCACTACAGATAATAAAACGACCCCTAAGAACTACATTGGACTGACTGAAGGAACTTTTAAACAAAGATTTAATCAACACATGGTTACATTCCGACACAGAAAATACACCAACAGCACTGAACTATCCAAATACATCTTGCAACTGAAGGACAACTCTGTAAACTTCAACATAAAATGGTCCATTATTGCAAGAGCTAAGCCCTACAACAACACGACGAAAAGATGTGACCTTTGCCTGACCGAAAAACTCATGATTATTAAGTCCAGCAGCAACAACCTACTGAATAAAAGATCCGAACTTATATCCAAATGCCGTCACGAAAACAAGGTTTATCTAGTTTATAGATTTTATCTTTATTTTTGCCGCGCATAAATTGTGAGTAATAATAATAGATAATAACAAAACCTTTATTCAAACACGATAAATATTTCAAGTCAGAGGCTTTTGGGTTGTGTTACAACAAAGTTAATAGAACATAAAAATTATTAATAAATGATCATATATATATATATATATATTAAAATATATGAAATCACGTAATGTAGTTAAAAGTGGACAGAAATGCTTTATACTCTGTTCCATAAAATTGAATCTCTAAGATGAGTAGTGGTATAAGACACTTACCAGTGGATGTGGTGCAGCCATTTCACTAATAACCAACAACCTAAAACAAAACCAAAATCAGTGTGCAAGAAGGCATTTTTTGTCGAAACTATTTGGGTATAGCTCTGAGTATATTAACTGACATTGAACTGACATTGTAAAGGCTCGTTTTCTGCAACAATCTATTCATATAAATCGGTTTCCTTTACATACACGAGCCCTGTACAAGTGGTTTTCTTTGAGTAGGTCAGAACTTCGTCTAAGTTTTATCATATTTACTTCCGCAGTGCAACATAGCAAGGGACTCAGTTTAATCTTTTGGAGCATTTAACCACGAGAAAACTTATAATTGGCGTAATTGGTCAATATTCACCTTATAAACAGCAAGTTTCACCAAAGGCGAATTTGAGCATTCTTCGAGGAAAGTTCCCTAAAATTGCTATGATGATTAGGATGGTTTTAACTCCTGGAGGTGTCAAAATTTAGAAACCTGAATGTAAGAAATTCTGATAAAACTTGTGATCTGGCGACAAATATTAATCTCTTACCTTGGAATCTTGGGTGCTTTGAAAAGTGTCGAATATGTCGAATGTCGCAGTACGTGTAGGACTGGCGCTAGCATTCGATCAAGGGTGACGGCAACGTGGCGGCAAGAAAATGAAAACCCCTCTTGCATATTTGGGTAACCATGTCACATGTTTTTCTCATACAGGTCACGGAACATTTTGATTTGTAAAATACAATTAATAAATTTAAAGGTAAAACACAGTAAGTCTAAGCCTCCGCCATCTATCTAGATTAAAAATAAAACTGGAGTCAGCGCAGCATGTGATGTCCAGCTGTGACACAGCTATAATTTGTTCTCGGTGAAAGCTCGCTGTTGTAAATAATATTTCAACTTTCCATGGATCACGGAGTTTTAAACCCTTTCTTGTTCTGGGAATGTAAACACTTTAGTTTCTTTTTGTCTTAGTCTACAACGTTGTCGTGCCTCTTCCCTTCAGTGTCGGTGACTAGCGATAGATATTTACCTCAACGCTTCGTGGCTCGGTAAATATCCACCACTAGCCACCTCTACTTCGGTGAAAAGTTATTACTAAACTGAATGAAGTAATTTTGAATCACGATGCGTAATGTTTCAGTTGTGGCAGACGATGCAACAAGCCTGATGACATGAATTTCAAATCTGTAAAAACCAACCGGTTAGAAAACATGTAAACTTACATTTTTAAGAACGCTGGGATGGGAATGTCAGGCATAGAGCGTGTCTGCTGTTTAACCTCGTAACTTCCCGGTGCCAGCGAGCATTTTGCCCCCTCCATGAAGTCCACCAGCTTTTCACATCGAATGGAATGCGTGCTTCAGACAACGCCAGTTCAGAAAGAAAGAAAAAAAGCCAATTAAGGAACTGGTCACTTTAGATCGCCTGAGTGGGAGGGGGGAGGGGAAGGAAGGAGTTTGGTTGTGCCTCCCCCCATTGGCAGTTAATCGGCAGTCAACTTTCTATAGTCCCTCTTTATACTCTTTTGTCAGTGATTAAGCCTCTCCTCCCTCTGTTCCCCCTGAAAACCATATGTTCCCCCAAAATCCATTCCCTATATCTGAACTGCAACATGTTAGAAAGTTAACTCATTTTTTAAGTCGCTTTGTAGCTCGCTCTATCCATTCAACACCGATTCGTAGAAAATTTTCATTGTCAGTTTATTTAAAACAATAACATAGATTTATGCCTTTACATTGGTAAAGACAATCATCACGCAAACTCTACTTATAAAGTGCACCCCCCTTACTTCTTTGCCACTGATGAAAGATACCCCTTAAACCCGCAGAGTGCTTGGACTGTAAGTAATATATTACACCAGCGTTTAACTACTTACCTACAGTTACAATTTCAGCTTTTCATAATAAGAGGAGAGGGGAGGCAAGAATTGCATCAAAAATATTTTCCTTCTGAAGCTGTGATACTAAAAGTATGGTGTTTTTTGGGACAGCTCTTATTTTTCTTATCAAGACATCTCCGGCGAACATTTAAACAGAGGATCTAACAAAGCTCAGGATGCGAGGTTAGATATCCACGCGCGTGGTTCTGGGAGTGACATAGATCAGCATTCTTCGATGTGAGGGTCTGTCACCCTAATGCTGTATCGAATAGGGACATAGAGCCACAACAAATTTATCGTCTCCATGAGAACGAGAAAAAGCGTCTCTACTCAGAGAGAGTCCTGGACATTGAGCATGGAACATTTACACCATTGGTCTTCACCACGACTGGCGGACTGGGAAAGGAGTGCTTGAAGTATCATAGCCGTTTAGCACAGCTGATTGCCATCAAAAAAGGGGAGCAGTATGCCAGAACCATCTCATGGATCAGAACCAGAACCTCATTCGCACTCTTGAGATCTGCGTTGGTTTGTCTTCGAGGCTCTAGGACAAGAAGAGTGCCATGTGACATTAAGAATGTTGATATCGACGTCGAAGTTGTTGAAGGAGCCATTAAATCGGACTATTGATGTGTTTCCTTACTTCATATATATCTTTTTATTTCATTATTATTATTATTATTATTATTATTTTTAGCAGGACTTTTAGGACGCTAGATTTTTATTTAGAGAAAAGATATTGAATATTGCATTTTATTTATTACTACTATTTAATGTTTTATCGTTGTTGGCAGATTTTAAAGAGGAATTAGTGAAAAGATGTTAAATATTGGTAGTGATTGCTAATAGTAATAGTAATAATAATTAGTAGAGAAACATTTCCGTGGATTATAGTTCAAGAGATATTGAGACATTATGATTTTTTCTTTTCTTTCTAACAGATGTTAAGGTACAAATTTAATTATTTTTAAGTGAAGCACTGTACATAGGTCTTTTTTATGAGTATTGAATAAAGATTTTGTATAATTTAAATTGTATCCTCAGTTTAAACTTTCTAAAATCCCAATTTTCTTTGGCAGAAAATTAAATGAACGTTTCTTGATTCCGAGACGGGTCAAAGCTTTTGAAATTCCTTTAAACGAACACCGTTGAGACGTAGATTACAATGTGATTCATGTGATTCTTGGATTCACACCCGCTGTTTGGGGATGAATAATGATGAATACCAACTACTTGCAAATTCTTCATGCTCCTGGATTTGCCCTGATTGTGACCTTCCAAGTTTTTTCTCACCTACGCTTCTGGACTTGTCTTCAGACACTTTGAACTTATCAAATTCTTTTGATATTCTGTCTGGTTCTGTGGTTGACAATGGATATAATTTTCCAAGATCTAATCCGGCGACGAGTTCATCGAAGCGCAACACGAAAACAAAATTAAAATGAATGATAATTAATTGTGATGGTCTTAAAAGCTCCAAACACTCTACTGAATTTCATCTTGAAGCCCTTTGGTCCTCTCTCAAAATTGCAAATAGGAAGACATTATACATCTCGTCCTTTTATAGACCACCAAACTCTTCCACTGAGATACTTGACCATTTAGACGACTCTCTTAACTATAGGCAGCATGACATAAGCAAAATTGAATCTGTCCAACGAAGAGCCGCTCGATTTGTCTTTAACGACTACTCGCGTTATAGCCACGTTACACCTATGATACAAAGTCTTGGCTGGGATTCATTCCATCACCGAAGACTTCTTTCACAAGGTACTATGTTTTATAAAATCTATATGGGCCACGTTGGCATATCACTCCCATCTGATGTCACACCAAATGAAAGACCATCAAGAGCTCCAAACTGTCGTCCTCGATGCAGTTAAACTGTTGCTTTGTTTGTAGGTCATGCTACAGCAGAAGATATGGTACACCACTTCAATGCTGGTGTGATAAACAGTGGCCTAAACATTAAGAACATGGTTCAAATCAGTATGGATGGGCCAAATGTCAATTGGAAATTCTATGACAAGATAAAGGTGAATTTGTCGGAAGAATTTCATACAACTCCAATAAATGTCGGCTCGTGTGGTATCCATACAGTGCATAACAGCTTTAAGGCAGGTGTTGTGACAACTGAATGGAATGTCTCTTCCATCTTGTCGAGCTTGTATTATCATTTCAAGGACTCTCCTGCCCGAAGGGAGGACTTTGTGAAGGTAACAGGAAGTTCACAACTAGCACTTAAATTTGTCAGCCACAGATGGCTAGAGAATGTTGTTGTCTCAGAAAGGGCCCTTAACATTTGGAAGAGTATTGAGTTGTATGTCAAAGCAGTGAAAGAAAAAAGAATCCCAAACCCTGGAAACAAGTCATTTCAAGTGATAAAAGAAGCAGTGGATGACAAACTCATCCTAGCCAAACTACAGTATTTTAAGTGTATTGCAAGTCAGTTACAGCTGTTCCTCACCAATTATCAAACTGACAAGCCAATGGTTTGTTTCTTGGCAACTGATCTCAGTACTGTCCTTAGAGATCTTATGAGGAGATTTATTAAAGATGATGTGCTCTCTAAAGCAACAAAAGTGGAGAAGCTAATGCTAGTGGATGTGGAGGACAAGAGCAACCACAAGAGCTACAAGAAAATTGATGTAGGGTTCTGCACAGAAAATGCACTTAAGGATGCTTGTGCAAAAGCCCAAAAAGAGGGGTCATCCATAAGTGACAAACAACTTATGGCTTTCAGGCTTGAATGTAAGAGCTTCCTCATTGCAATTCTGAAAAAATTGGTCTTGAAGTGCCCACTATCTTACTCCCTTGTTCGAAACATGGTAGCTCTAGATCCCAGAGATATGGCTACTAACCCAAATAGCTGCAGCGAGAAATTCAAGAAGATCCAAACTGTGCTAGTCAATTCGAACAAAGTAAGGGATGAAAACTGTGACAATGTCTTGCAACAATATTCTAACTTTTTGGACAGGGTTCCAGTCATTGGTTCTGACATATTTTCATCTTTCAACCCAAACGTTCATAGAGTTGATGAATTTTGTTCCACCTACATGAGTGGTGAGAATTATGTTGCATTATTTGACATAGTGAAAATTTTGCTGGTGCTTTCACATGGGCAGGCATCTGCAGAGCGGGGATTTTCTGTCAACAAAGAAATTGAAGTAGAGAACTTGCATGAATACTCTCTGGTAGCTCAGCGTATCATTTGTGATCATCTAAGGGCAGTTGGTGGAGTTCTCAATGTGCCAATTACAAAGAAACTACTTGCGGCAGCAGCTTCATCACGACAGAAATATGAGAAGCATCTACAGGACCAAAGGGACAAAAAAAAGACACATGAAGAACAGAGGAAGAGAAAACATGCCCTGGACGAGATTGAGGAGCTTAAAGAGAAGAAGAAAAGGATGAAACTAGATGTAGACTCTCTCTTGAAGTCAGCAGATGATTTGAGCTTCAAAGCCGAGGCAACTGGGCAGCTGACTTTTGTCACTAAGTCCAATGCTCTTAGAAAGGCAGCCAAAGAGAAGACTCTTCAATTACAAGAAGTTGAAGACAAATTAAATGGAAAGTTAGAAGCTCTAAAGGGCTGCTGAAACGTTATGCTAAGATTTTTTTGAGGACTTTCAGTACTGCTGGATATGTACTTATCTGTACCGTACGTATTTATTATTTTGCTTATGTAATTCAGACTTAGTAAAAGCTGTCAAATAGCCAGTGACTGTGGTCGTTTTACAGAATGTTAGTACAGACACTTATGCCATGGTCTCGTCAACCAAGCCTGAACTATCTGAAAATTGCAAATTACTTTGTCGAGTGATTTGGTTATGAAAAGTGGTCAAGGAGTTTAGATTGACGAATAAAACTTAGTCCTTGAAAGCTATTTTTTGTCCTTGAAAAGTCCTTGAATTTTATTTGTCTGAAGTTGTACGAACCATGCTGTTTCGATATCGTAAGGAGAAATTCTGTCTTGTCACTCATGGGAGTCAAAGGGTTAAGCAGTGTTCACTACTATGAAGACCACTGTCACATTCATTTGATATTCATTTATCATTATAATCCTCGCCGTCAAGTCGCAATTCAAGCGATTGCTGAAAAGAAGCCTGAAAATTCAGGCTTCAATGGGATTCAAAAACTGTGCCATCCAGATACTGATCGGTCGGCTTCAACCAACTGACTCAACTGAACTACGAAGCCGCACGTTGGAAGCGAGGCAAATTTTAGAGGCTTCTTCTTTCTTAATTCTATCCTTTGCCTTTCAGGCCGGATTAACTGGTGCCAAAGTGAGCACTCAGGTGGATATTACAGACATTCACCTGCCGAACAATTTCGTCAAGATTGCTTGTATCGGCCAGGACATGGGATTTAAGATAGAGCCATAACATTTTCAAGAGCTGTAGAAAACATAGAGCAGTTGAGAAGTGTGTTTTTCCAAGAATAAAAGCACCGAATGGAGTTCTGGTCTTATGTTGTGCTATGTTAGGACAATTAAACTTATACGGTCAAGCACCAGTTGTTAAGTAAGCCAGGAGTTTCGTCAATAAACTGTGAAGCCAAAATAGAGCGAATAATAAATAAGGGAGGAAGTGCTTCGTGGAGAGGTTGGAAGTTTTCTCTAGTTTTTCCGTTTTTTTTTTTGTTTTTTTTTTTGCGTGTGAATGCTTTTATGCAAAAAAAGTAAACCAAAAAAGTTCAAAATAAAACATCTAGAGGTAATTTGGACGGGAGAGTCTCTAGTTAATATAACCCGCGGGGAAATGGTAGGTTATCTACTAGCGGAAATTTCCAACCTTAAACGACAAAAACGTCACTTTAGTCTTGTCAATAACGAAACGCCATCGGACCTTCTGAAGTAACAACCACTATAAGCTTTCTTCGCGCGACTTAAAAAGCTTTTTTTCTATTCGAAAAGAACTCGTAACCCCGTTGAAAACGACAAGGAATGTTGTATTCATTGCGGATGCCTAAAATGTTTTTGTCTAATCTCAGTATAGATTATGGATCTGTACTTAATCCAGTACAGATCCAGTCACTCTTTGGGTTACTCTTCAAGATCTTTCGTAGTGGTTGAGGCTCAGAAACCGAGGTTTTTTTTTTGAGAACAAGACCACAAAAAACATATAGGAAAAGATGATGGATTAACTTATTTTCATCAGTCGAGCCCTTGGCTCGCTTGTTTCGATTTATCTAGAATTTCGCTTTGTCTTTCATTGTCGTTGTTGGCTTTCTATTTTCGCCCTTTAACCGGTTCGGACGGGGAAAGTCTAATTTGAATAAAACAATTTCCAGCTTCGCTGCTTTAAAAATGTCGTCATCAGATTCAAGTTAATCTCAAATAGGGCTTTTAATAAAGAAACCTTCTGTAGTTTAAGTGCAGCACTGCCATATGACCCATATCGCTCGATGGCAAATGACGGAGACCAGCATTGTAAATGAATATTTCAATGCATCGACTTTCACACAGCACTTGGTAACACTACCATCCAGTTCAATAAAATCTGTGTTTCTTTATTTAGCTCATTTCGATGCTGTTATCACAATGACGTTGCTACTGTTGCTACTTTTAATTTCTTAAGGGCAGGGTGGAATTGGGAGGTTAGAGAAACTTGCTGCGGGGTTTCCTTTTACCGAATCAAAAATTTGGAGTGTCTGTTCATTTTCACAAGCTAAATAAAGATTTAGTCCTCCTGAATTTACCTCTGTGATATGATTTTTAAAAAATTTAATTAGGCTCAGAATTATCATCCAATCAAAGACCAGTTCGCACATCAGGTACAGGTTCTTAACCCTTTAACTCCCTTGATTGACCAAGACAGAATTTCTCCTTACTATATCAATACAACATCATGCAGACAAGTGTTGAGAATAAAGAAAATTATCATTTATGGAATAACTAATTGATCCGATACCATATTCTCCAAACTAACATAATGAGAATCATTTAGCAGACAGTTAGGAGAATTACTAATGCGATCTTGGGAGGTAAAGGGTTAAAGCTCTTAATTAGTCGCATTTCAGTCATTTGCTTTTAGTGTCCAAAACTCATTCAGTCATTGTCATTTTGCGTTGTACTCTACTAAAGCATGCTAATTTCAAGCACACCGATTTCAACCAATCATATACTTTGGTAAACTGCGTTGACGTATTTCATTGGTTGATTGTCCATTTTACAGTTGCGAGTTTGGTTGCCAAGCTTTTGAAGAAGGGTAAGGCTAAGGGTGACCTTATGATGATACAAACGTTGCTGCTTTTCAAATATAAATTACTTAGCTAACTAGATACTGGTCTCTATCCCAACGCAGTTACTTTCCGCCTCACTCCAAATCAGAAGTTTGGCAACTAAGTACACAACTGTAAAATGGCCTATTGCTGAGCTTTGTTTACAAAGAACAGATATTAAATGAATTAATGGCGCCAGGAGGTTAGCTTGGGCACCATAAACTTTTATGAATATTGAGAGGCGATTACTTGAGTTTCATTTCTTTTAGCACCCCAAAGCTAGAAGATAATCGCAGTTGAACGTTTTGTATTTTGCACATTCTGTCATATTACCAGGACAAAACATGTGGGTAAACATAGCTTTTAATTAAACATTTGGGGATTGAAAAGAATTCCATCTTAATGAGATGTTTTCGCCGCCATGAGAAGTCTTCTCATTCCAACATAGCTCATGATCTGAGTAAAACTCTTTTCATTGACATAAAATTTGACAGAGCCTATTTTTTAAAAATATTATAAATAAATAGCTCAAGTTTAGCTTTGACCAGAAAATCCTTATAGTAACCTATCATAGTAACCCATCATAGAAAACTCGATTACTTCTATATCTTGCTTTTATTCTTCGGTTTCCTGTGAAATAAAATTTTAAAAAAATCTTATGCTAAGACTTACAGCCTTAATTAGTCGTCAAAAGAAAACCTTTACTAGGCTAGCAAGCACTGAACACTTGCATTGATAATATTTTCATTTGTTTTTAGCTCTGTTCTCAGAGATCTGACGAAGGGCTAACTTCTGCTTTAAAAATCTTTACGGTAGCCAATTTACATTATCAACTCGGTTGATAATACTAAGTTACTCTGTTATACTCTCCCACCAACGGAGCACCACAGTTTCTTTAGAAACTTACACCCTTTACTCCAGGCTTCACCGAGTGATACCAAACTTTTCTGAACTACACTAATTGCATCAAAATATATTAAATTATACCAAACTGTTTGAGTATCCACCTAGAGCTCAACATAGGGTACGAATCAACTGATTGTCACAGAGCTTTACTTGGTTGGCCTCTTGAAGGTGATGTTGTGCAGTGTTATGAATTAGGGACTGATTGGAGATTTCAGTTGTAACTTTGTTGTTCTCATCATTATTTGTTTCTCTAATTAACAATTACCAGCGAGGGTTTGAGGTTTAAAGTTTGGGGACTTAAGAGCAAGTCATGTTTCCTTACCCACCTAAACTAATATCCATTCTCTTATCTTTATGGCCTCTATCAAAACTTTTCTCCTCATGTCCCTGTCTCTGAAAAAAAAGAACATGAAAGATAAAAGGGGGAAAAATTAAAATCTTGATCTATTTTAACTTTTCTTTTTCTTTGATATCAAGCTTTTCATTATGATATTTTTTAAATTGATGTACATTATTACACCTTGAAAAATAAATAGACAATAAATCATTGTCCACCAAAAGGGACTTACCTTGATCTCTGACTGAAACCTCCATCATTTGGATGGGGGATTCCTGTAGTATCCTAATTTTGAAAACAAATAGATTTTTATGCACTAGTGAGCAGATTTCTTAAATCTTCCATATACGTTCTACTTCAAGATTATCTGCCTTTTGACTCAGTTTGAGCTGTGGTGCACGTTAGTATTTAATTGTTGATGCACAGCATAAAAATGAGCGAATTTGAATTCTTGAAACCCTTAACAGTAAAAATAGATTCGAGTCGAAAAAATTATGCACCACTGATTGATTTTCATAATTAACTCGTAGTAGGAAAGCATGGTTTACCTGCACGTTAACGAGAATTTCAGGTATCCCACTCATTTCAGCAGACAGTATATCAGGTGCATTCGCTGGAAACTGTGGTAAAGAAACGGCATGAAGAATGGTTACAAGGAAATGTTGCTGTGATAGTTATCAATAAGTAATGTCACCTCCACCGGATAAATGTGTAATAAAGTGTTACAAAAATGATAGTTTGTTTGGTTTGAGAATATTGAAACAAATTTTCATTTTTTCCAATAGATGACCGCTCTGCCCACCAACTGATAAAGCATATTAAGTTTTCAGTAAGTGTGTTCTATTTATATGTATAAATTTTTCCTACATTCATTGTTCCTGGCGAGGAGGCTTATTTTGAGACCATGGGGCTTTTCACTATGAGCCACCCCCCCTCCCTCCCCACTTTACTTAGACTAAAAATACAGTGATCAGGACAAACAAAGCAAAAAAAATGAAAATTTCACACAAATAAAAACAAACGCAGACAGAAACCAAGCGAGCAGAGACATTGGAGACATGCTACAAAAAAAAAGTAAAAACTATCTACTTGAAGAGAATCAGGTTAGGAGAAATACCAGTGTGTGTGTAGTAACGAAAACGTACTTAAACTTAATATACCTAATTATATCCTAATTACCAAATCATGACACAAAAGAGTAGAAAATTAGATATTAAACTTTTAAAAAATTGAGTATTGCACAGATGCAAACAGATATGAGTATTTACATTTTAGTTGATCATACTCGTTGGACATATTGCTTGTCATTTAAAGCATTTTCAAACTATTGGGCCGGCTCTATTTTTCCCGTGCATAAATTGTGAGCAATAAAAATAAATAATAATAAAACCTTTGTTCAAACATGATAAACATTTCAAGCCAGAGGCTTGTGGGGTCGTGTTACATCAAAATTAATATAACATAAATAATATTATGATCATATATCTAATTAAAATATAAGAAATCACGTAACTTAGTTAAAAATTGACAGAAATGCTTTATACTCTTGGAATCTATGTAACAATCTATCATTCTGTTCCATAATATTGAACCTCTCAGATGAGTAGTGGCATAAGACACTTACCAGTGGATGTGGCGCTGCCATTTTCCTTACAGCTAAGGACCTAAAACAAAACACAACGAGCCCTGAACAAGTCTTCTTTTAATAGGTTAGAGCTTCATCTACGTTTTATCATATTTACCTCCAAAGTGCAGTATAGTAAGGGACTCGCTTTAATCTGTTGGAGCATTTAACAAGGTGAAAACTTATAATTGGCATAGCTATGTTAATATTCGCTTTATAAACAGTAAGTTCCGACCGAAGCCGACTGTGAGTATTCTTTGAGGAAAGGTCCCCTAAAACTGATGTGATAATTAGAATGGTTTTAAATCCTAAACGTGTCAGAATTTAGAAACCTGAATTTAAGAAATTCTAATAGAACTTGCGATTTGTGGGTAAATACTAACCTCACCTTGGCATCCTCGTTGTTTCAGGAACCCAGGACTTTTGATTCACTAGATGAAGATGAAGGACTGGATACAGGCATTCGAACAATCAATAGCTTCTCGAATAATCTCTCTCACCTCAACATGGCGGCGAGGAAATGAAGACCCCTCTTGTACTAAACTGAGTTGCAAAAATTTAATCTTTAGTCAATATCGTGTTATGGTGTTTGTTGTGAAACATCTTAGTTTCTGTCAGTGTGGGAGAGTGCGTTCTTCTCCCACAATGTGGCCCAAGTTCCTTTCTCCAGCCTTTCATAACTTGTGAATATTTTCGGTCGTTGAACGTTGTCCTTTCTCCACGTTTTCCAACCTCGAAAAGCAAGTCGCAGAATTCCATTTCGACCAACACTCTCCACGCACTCCTTTAATATTTGGGTAACCAAGTCACATGTTTTTCTTATACATATACATTGTGTATATGTGACCTCGATCTCAAAGACGGGTTTGGGTGGTCATTGTTTAAGATGCTGTAGAAACATAAAAAATTAGATGCATTGATAAATCTCAAATGTTTTGTTCATATTGAAAGCAATAACCGCCAACTTCGATACCTCCTCTGGAAAACAGAAGTTATGTGATGTTGTGGATACGAAGTGAAGGGTTTCCCGAATGGTCGTAAGCAGCTTTCTTTTCCTCCACCTGTTTTCTTAAGCCTCTCTCTCGTTGGCATATTTAAGCTCTCTGAAAACTAAGATTTAAGGCGTTGATTTGAACCGTGTAAGCACTTCTCGCCTGATATGAAATAAATTGATCATTTTTGAAGCAACCCCCTGCAAGGAACCATGCTGACGTTTGAAAATTGAAAGGTAAGAAACACAATAAGCAGCCAATGCCTGTTAACTACATGCTGCGGTCAGATTTAATTTTAAACGCTACAAGGACAAGTGTTCTCATCTAATTGGCTGAACATGTCAACATCCAACGGAGTATTTTTTCCTGTGCTAGTGAATTTACATAATACAAATTTACAAAACCTTATGGGAAAGAAGAATTTATATGTCTGCGAAAAGTTTCCAGTTTTCCAAGCTAAACAGTCATTTCATAATAGGTAGATGGTGTTAGGTTTGATTCGTAAAATAAAATTAAAAATTTTTAAAGGTAGCACACAGTTAGTCTAAGCCTCAGCCATCTATCCAGAATAAAATGAAAACAGGTGTCAGCGCAGCGTGTGATGTTCAGATGTTTTCGAAAACATTTTCAATTTATGGAAATGAAACTTGTTTTCAATTTCACGAAAGCGAAGACAGTTTCTGATCGTCGTGTTATGACGTTCTTTAAGAGAAGCGTGGGAATAAATCAGGGTAGTCGACGTGAAGAGTCGGGTTTTCTTGACACAGAAACGCTTATGCTTTTCCTTATTTATTTGGTTCTCGGATAAAGCTCAGTGCTGTAAATTTTGAGACTGGTTTTCATGGATCACGGAGTTCTAAACTTTTTCTTGTTTTGGGAATGTTAACACTTAAGTTTCTTTTAGTCTTAGTCCACAACGTTGTTGTGCCAGTTATCTTGTCACTATACTCTCTAAGTCCTATATTTACCGTCCTCGATACAACACGCCTGATGACTTAATATTCAAATATATCAAAAATAATCAAACAGAAAACTTGTAAACTTACTTTTTAAGAACACTTGGATGGGAATGTCAGGCATAGAGCGTGTCTTCTGTTTAACCTCGTAACTTCCTGGAGCCAACGGGTATTTACGCCCTCATAGAAGTCCATCAGCTTTTCACATCGAATGGAACGTGAGCTTCAGACAACGCCAGGTCAGAATGAAAGAAGAACGCCAATTAAGAAACCTGTCAATTTACATCGCCTGCGTGGGAGGGGGGAAGGGGTTTGGTCTTGCCTCGAGAAAATTTACCCGACCCCATAAGGCTTTATTATAAACTTCTTGGATCCCCGCCCCCTCCTCCTCCCCATTGGCAGTCAATAGGCAGTCGATTTTCTATAGTCCCTCTTTATACTCTTTTGGCGATGACTGACCCCCGCCCCTCCCTCCGTTCCCCCTGAAAACCATATGTACACCCAAAATCCTCTTCCCAACCCCACCCCTCCCCCCACGGCGACTTAAAGACCTTCTTTTATGCGAAAGGAACTCTTAACCCCGTTGAAAACAACAAGAAATGTTAATTCATTTCCTGTGTCTAAAATGTTTTTGTTTAATCTCAGTACAGATTATGGATCTGTACTTAATCCAGTACAGATCCAGTCACTCTTTGGGTTTTTAATTCTCTTCCAGATCCTTTGAGGTGGTTGAGGCTCAGAAAGTTCTTTTTTTCATCGAGAACAAACCACAAAAACAAATTAGAAAAGAAGATGAATGAAATTATTTTCATCAGTCAAGCCCTTGACTCGCTTGTTTCGATTTATCTAGAACTTCGCTTTGTCTTTTGTTGTCGTTGTTGGCGT